GGGGAGCCACAGCACCACTAGGTTGGTACATGAGAGAGCTAACAATCCAGTGAAACTCAGATATATGGTATTTAAAAAGAGGAGTAACTGAAGTACTTCACAGGCATAGAATAAATGGTTGCTCAGTATGGAGGAGAAATTGTCCTTACTGAGAAGAAAGAAACCTTCCCATTTCACAAGCACCAAATATGCTAGGAGAGATTGACCCTGAGGAGAAGGAGACCTGAATTGAGCCTAGCACATAGGAAGGTAGTATTGCTTTTAAGAATTTCCCTGTGCAGTGAGACAGCCTTGGGTCTGGTGCCATCTTGGAAGTCCACTTTCCCTCTGCCTGAGTACAACAACTAAGAGAAGAAATTCAACAACATTATTATCTGGAATAACTTTCTCTATTTTGGTATATTGAGTGAGACACCACACACCCCCATATTTTCTGTTCTTTAGGATGTGATAGCCACTTCACTTCAGACCAACAGTGAGACCCATTTAATTGTTATTTTGGATTCCAAAGAAGAGTAAATGGGACCCAAAAGAGTGAAATCAGGCAAAGAAGATGGCGTCTTGCATGCCTTGCATGGAGAACAGACACCAGGGTGGGAAATTCTCCATGGAGTGAGACAGAGAGCATGAGCCCAGCTGGTGGTAAGCACATCCAGCCCAGTGAAGGGAAACAGCAGAACACAAAAGGCTAGGATATAGAAAACAGGGTGCTGTGAACAATGCTGCAGGCCAGAACTTAGGCTCAGGCGGATTTGTGGGAGGTGGGACCTGAGGCTAGGAGCAGGGCTGCAGAGAGCTGAGGAAGGCAGGGATGTGCAGGCACTTAGTCACTGTGCAGACCCTGAAGCCCCAGGCCCTCTGCTCTGCTTAGAGGCTTTCAGAGTAAGCAGGGATGGGCATAAACTTTACACAGCCATGCATCCTGGAGCCAGGGCTGGGAAGTGAGGCACTGGGGCCAAGGTTGGGACCTGCACACATTATGCAGACCCCTCATTTTTCCCTTTCTCTGGTTCCTAAGAGAAGAGGGGATGAGGGCAGCTGTGTTGCAGGCTCCCAAAGGCAAACCTGGCAGTGGACAAAGGTCACCACAGAGGGCAGAGCTCAGCTCCGGACTGTAGGAAATGGCCTCTCCCACTTGGACAGAGCCTGAGAAGGAGACACAGGGAAAGACAAGGGGTTTCCATGTTGCTCCTTCTATTAGGCCTTGTCCCAAGTGGAATTCTACAGAAAATACTGGTCTCCAGTGCAGATGCCCCCACAAGGAGGCAGAATCACTGTGTGTGTGATTTTGCAAGCATTATGCTATTGTGTGTGCACCTACAGGGTCTTATCTTGTTTTGTTAGGTTCTCTCCTGGCAAGGTTGTTTCACAGGCTTCCTAATATTCTAGTACACAGGCATCTGCTAATTCTTTAATTGGTTCCACTCTCCCCTACTTCTCTCTCTTTTCATTTATATTCCCCTCCTTTCTCTACTCCTTTCCTCCTGCTCCCACACCTATTGAATATCCCTCCCTCCTTCTTTTCTTCATACATGTAAATGTTCTCATTAGGGCATTGCCCACCTATCTTATCCTACTTATTTCCTTCCTCCTCCTTTCTGATCCTAAATTATGAAAATCATTTGAGAGTTTTACCAACAAATTATAAATTATATGTTAGTGAAAGATTTGTTCTCTAGATATTGACATTACTGATGACTATTCTGTCTTCATAAAGTAGTAGTAAGAATTCAATCTCACAGAAGAGTTCTGTAGCAGGAAGGAACCCTAACTCTCAATTAACCCTTAATGAACTATTTCAGCTTTACTACTATGTTTAACTTTCTTGTTATTCTTCTCAAGATTACATCCTACTTGACTATACATAACAAAGCAGATATTTTCACATTAATCATTGCCAATTTTATGGTAGTATCCAGGCTGGTTATGTGTTCATGCTTATTTTTTCTTTTATAAAATAAAAAATCAAGTAAACTAAAATGATAAATTATATTATGTGAATGTAGGCTCTAGATGAAGCTAGCCAGTCAGACAAACCCGAATGTAGACTTTGCCCCATTCCTCTGGGGCCTGAGGATGCCTATTTATCCTCTGAGTTCTGTTAGTGAAGATTGGAGTCCTGTCCAATGCATGAGATATGAGCAGGCTCCTTACTAATAGGCTAACACACCCAGTCCTGGCAGAATACATTGAGTCATAAAATTAGCATAAAATACTCAATGCACTGTAGTAAAATAATTATGCAAACTTAAAAATACCCATCAGAATTAGTTTTTGTCCCCCCTAAAAAAAGATGAGGAAATTACTATTACATAAAAAAGTGTAAGAACTCTTAAATTTCTTTATTTTTTCTTTGAATTTTAATAATCCCTTCTTTTTTACTAATGAATAAGCATTGTGTCTATGGCCAAGTCATTCATTTAAGTATAAAACATTTCCAAGGAAACAATGTTATTGTTCCATCTTTCATAGTGTCAATTGTAAAGGAAACAAGACTCAGGAAAGTTTTTTCCTATCTTCCTAGTAAAAAAAAATCCACCTTAGGGTTTGGGATTTTAGTAAGCTCAAATTCCTGAATTCAATACCTGGTAATGCAAAAAAAACAAAAAAAAACAAAAAAACCCCAAATCCCTGAATAAACACTGAAATGTAAACATTCCTGGCAAGTTTATATAAATGTGTCAATTTAAAATATAAATAAATGAAGTTCAGCAGAAAGTTGGAACATCACATGAGGAGGTAAAGTGTTTATGCTCTACATGTGAGATTTCTAAGAGAAAAGACAAACTCTAGTGTTCATTAAATACTTGAACTTTTCTTATTGGAACCAGGCCAAGAAATCTTCTCTGGAAATTGCTCCCTGAGGATGACCAGAGGCTGCAGTGTTCTGAATGTGCAGTATACGAGGCTGACCGGGAGGTGAGCTACACACTGGTCTGTTTCCATTCACAGGTTTTCCTCAGACTCTTTTCAGAGGAAACTTCAGGGTGATCTTTCCATCTGATCAAGACTTGAACAAAATTTCTAGGGTAATACAGTATACCTCAGCATAAAAGTATGATTGCAGAAAAGCACAAAGATAAATTACCCCTTGAAAAACAAATTACAATAATTTCCACCTCACTATTTGGTTTATTGTATTATTTCTGAAAATATTTTGTGCTTGACAAATTTTTAAACAGACAATATCAGAAGGCAGTTTTTTCAGCAACTTTTGTGCACAGTAAGTATCATTCTGAGAACTAGATGGGTTTATATTAGATAAAATAAATGGTATTTTATCAAAAAGTACATACACATATCATTTGGCCCTCATCATAAGCAATTTTAAGATTTGCAAAAAAAGGAATATAGAGTTTGTGAAATCAAAGTATACAACCAATGTTACAACAAATTCTGAAAATATAATGTGAAGAAAATTGATTTTGAATGGGAAAGTTAAAAAACACATTGTTACCAGAGCTGAATGTCCATACTGCCTCTGGCTGCCACAACAATGGTGGGGGTAAGATATTTTGATGGGAAAAAAGGGGTATATTTGCTACATATGAGAGACAGCAGCCACTGCTCCCCACAAATCTCTGTGTCCCCTGTGTTAATTTCTGCCCAGGATTTTATGTCCAGGTGACTCCAAGCTCCCTGCTTCCCCTTTTCCAAGTTAAAGCAACCTTGACCTCCTGGGGTGGTATCTGAATGTTCTTCACAGGCAGTCATATTTCTGAGACTGAGCATTCATTCTCTGTGCAGTCATTTGAATGGGGACAAGAAGAGTATTTCTGCTTTCAGCCAGGGGAAACTGGAGAAGTAGCCTACTTTTCAAACTCCAAAAGTTTAAAGATTAATTTTTTTCTCTCAGTTACTATATCATCAGGAATGTAATATTAATATGATTCACTAGAGTCCCTAGGCAAAAATTGCTTTGATTAATGTAATGAGTGACTGAGATAAAAAGGACAGTGCATAATACACTGAAAATGGTTTTCATAAGAGTCAGTTATATATCCTGATTCAGAATTGGTAAAACAATTTCTAATTGGGGACACATTATTGTAAGTCTGTCCTCTGAAGTCAAAATATCTATGCAGAATAAGTCTGAACATATAACTGTTCTGTGGCCATTTTCAGAAGAAAAGTACATGCATAAGAGTCTTTATGGTATAATCTTTTCCTGAGAATGAATGTGTTAATAAGGAAAAGAGTCTAGAGTAGTATCAGTTTCATGCTAAAAGCAGGATGTAAGGTTTTAATATATCAGAAACAAATGTCATTTTATCCCCCTATCTATACGTAGTGATTGTATCATTTTTACTCTTCTTCACAATGGTTTTCATTAATTTCTAGGAACACAATGGAAAGTACTGAGCCATTCATATAAACAAAAATATTTTTGGAGAGAGCATAATTTTTAAAATTTTTTTCCATACCAATCTCAGCTTTTAGGATCCTTTTTAAAGGCATGCTCTTCCTTCACTCATCTCATCACTACTGGCATTTCTAAAGATTATGCTCTAGACTATTATCCATTCTTACTGCACACATTATCCATGGCTGATCTCATCCCACATTCTGGTTTAAAAACCATGCATTGGAGTTAAAATGGCAGTGTAAAGTTGGGCAGCATATCACAGCCTGTTCAGG